CATTTTTTAAATTTTATTGTGTTATGTTAATCACCATTAGAAATTTTAACGATATTTGTTCTTCTAATCCATGAGGATGGAATATTTTTCCATTTCTTTGTGTCTTCCTTGATATCTTTCATGTGTGTTCTATAGTTTTCTGAGTACAGATCCTTTGCTTCTTTGGTTGGGTTTATTCCTGGGTATCTTACGGTTTGGGGTGCAATTGTAAATGGGATCAATTCCTTAATTTCTTTTTTTATTATTTTTTTAAAAGATTTTATTTATTTGACAGAGAGACACAGTGAGAGAGGGAACACAAGCAGGGGAGTGGGCGAGGGAGAAGCAGGCTTCCCGCAGAGCAGGGAGCCCGATATGGGGCTCGATCCCAGGACCCTGGGACCATGACCTGAGCTGAAGGCAGACACTTAGCGACTGAGCCACCCAGGTGCCCCTCAATTCCTTAATTTCTCTTTCTTCTGTCTCATTGCTAGTGTATAGGAATACAAATGATTTCTGTGCATTGATTTTATATCCTGCCACTTTGCTGAATTCCTGTATGAGTTCTAGCAATTTTGGGGTGGAGTCTTTTGGGTTTTCTACATAAAGTTTCATGTTATCTGTGAAGAGTGAGAGTTTGATGTTTTCTTTGCCCAATTGGATACCATTTTTTTTTTCTTTTTGTTGTCTGTGGTGATAGTGGACATCCCTGCCATGTTCCTGACCTTACGGGAAAAATTTCCCCATCGAGAATGATATTTGCTGTGAACAGAATATAGCAATACACTGGACCCTGTGTGTAGTTTGGTCTGTTTGTTAGAAAACTAGATCCCAAAATTGTAAAGAAAAACTTATATATGTACAAAAATAAAATTAAACACATTGAAATGATAGAATGTAAGTGTAAAAATTAAAATTAAAGGACAAAAAGAAAAATAAAGAAGGAATATAAACAGACAGGGGAACAGGACAGAGCAATACATTATATCCTAAGTGTATTTTGGTCTGTTTGTTAGAAGAGACTACATCCCAAAATTGTAAAGAAAGAAAAACATATATATACAAAAATAAAGTAATTACATTGAAAGGATGGAATGTAATTGTAAAGATGCAAATTAAAAAAAAAGACTTTAACAAAAAAAAGTGAAAGAAGAAAGAGAGAATATGATCAGACAGGTGAAGAGAACAGAGCCATATACTAGATTCTTGGTGTATTTTGTTCTGTTTGTTAGAAGAAACTGCATCCCAAAATTGTAAAGAAAGAAAAAAAATATATATATGTATCTATATATGTGTAAAATATATGAAAAACATATATATATATATAATTAAATACAACAAAAGGGTAGAATGTAAGTGTAAAAAAGAAAATTAAAGAGTTGATAAAATAAGAAATTGGTTGAAAAAGGAAAGAGAAAAAAATTAAAATTGAAAGACTAAAGAACTGTGGGGAAAAAACCATGAATTCTATGTACTATTTTACCCTAGCGCTGGAGTTTTGCAGTTCTCTGCGATTAGTAAACTTGGTCTTAGCCAGATGTTCTTGCTGATCTCCTGGGGGAGGGGCCTATTTCATCAATTCTCAGGTGTCTTTGCCCAAGGCAGAATTATTCCACCCTTGCCAGGGGGCCAAGCTAAGTAATCTGCTCCAGTTTGCTCTATGTGGCTTTTGTTCCCTGAAGGCTTTCCACGCAGTTTTAGAGGATGAGAATGAAAATGGCAGCCTCCCAATTCCCGGCCCTAGAGCTGAAAGCTTGGGGCCCCACTCCTCAGTGTGCCCTCAGGGAAAAGCAGTCAATCACTCCTGTCTCCCTGGTCTCCATCCACACTGCCTGCTCACCCAGCCTGTAACTGACCATTTCTATCTTAGGCACGTGACCCGTTTTGAGTCTCCAAACTTCTGGGGCACACACCCGCACTGCTCTTTCCTGGGGGGGGGGGGTGGTTCTTGCGGTTCTGCCACTTGCTGGGCCCCAGAGAGTGGTCACTGGATCGTGGCATGGTTCATGGTTTATGGCAACCCCAAGCTGAGAGCCCACTCCTGGGCTCTCTGTTTGCAATCGACTTCCTTGCTCAGATGCCTGGGAACTCTGCTGCACTCAGGCACCCCCGGTATTCTGGGACCTGGGCATCCTGAAACCACACTGTCTCACCTAGGATTCCACCCTGCTTTGCTGCCTGAGCATCTTTTAAGCAGGGATGTCCCTCAGTGGAGCAGACTTTTAAAAGTTCCAGTTTTGTGCTCCACTACTGTATCACTTCCCAGTGCTGGCTGATGGAGGCTCCCTCCTCCGCCCCACCACAGTCTATCTTTCCATATATCACCTTGGATTCATTTCTCTGCACCTCCTACCTTGCAGAAAGTGGTCAATTTTCTATTTGTAGAGTTGCAGCTATTCTTTTCGTAGATCTCCAGTTGAGTTTGCAGGTGTTCAGAATGATTTGATAGCCATCTAGCTGGATTCCTGGGACGAGATGAAACTAAGGCTCCTACTTCTCTGCCATCTTAGACTCAGATAATTTCTTTTTAATGTACTTTATGAAAGTCCCCATAGCTCTAGGTTCTTAGCCTTCCTTCTTTACCTTCAACTCTGCCTCACTCCAAAATAATTTTCTACCATTTTAATTGTCCCCACCTTTTGGGACATCTTTCATCCTACTTACATGGATCGAAATCTCAGGAGGATCCCTACTCTTCCCAGTAACACATTTTACCAGTCTTGGGTAGTTTAGTCTGGAATAACAGTCAACTGCAGCCTGTACAATCCCAAACCTCTCACACCAAATATTTCCTGCCTCTCATACCAAGTGTTTCCTGCATAAATTTTATTTTATGCTGTGTAGGATTTGCCTGCACAGCATAAAATGAAGCAAACAAGAATACACAACTAATATTTTATTTAAAAAAATTATAAAAATAATTGAAAACAGAGATTCTCAATATGAATTTTATGGAATTTGATGAGAATATATTAGGAACAGTGTAATCTAAATGTTTGGAAGACAAACATTGTCATGTGTCTTAATTTCTGCAATTTCAGTTGTGATGACACATCAAATGGTTTGTGGCTATTACAGAGCCATCATATTTTAGAATTTCCACATCTTGACTGTGAGAAAATAGTGTTTGTTTTTACCAGGACCAAGTGAAATTTTTAGAAAAATGTTGTTCTTTCACTAAAATATGGTCACAGAAGTAAGGTTTATGATTCTTGGCTTTAAGCAATTTTCAGGATTGAGGAGAAAGATGTTCTTTTTTAGTAACAAGTAAAATGAAATTTCTTTGTAGAATAATACCTTGACACTTCAGAAGTCTCCTTGTTCAGAAGTATCTTATTTTATTTTCCTCAACCTTCCAAAGGAATTTGAAAAAAAAAAAAGAAAAGAAAAAGTTTTGACTCAGAGTTTTTGATGCATTGGGATGCACAACACTTTTCATTAACTCTCTTTTCTATTCACTGATGGGCATTGCAATCCCTGGAAGATATTGTATCAAATTATCTTTGAAACAGTTATGAAGTACTCACTTTGCCAATAGATGGGGAATATGGAAGGTAGGGAAAGAGAGACTATCTCTGTGGCCTGCTCCACAAAGGACAACATGGTGTTATCCTTATACTAGCGTTTGCCAAACATGTGGTTCTTGACATTTTGCTCAGGGATTTGCCTATACAGTGCAAAATAAAGCAGACAGGAATAAAAGACTAAAGTTTTATTTTAAAAATTATAAAGATGATTTAGTGCAGAAGTTCTCAATCTGATGTTTATGGAATTCAGACTACGTGTGGGACTTCCTGATAAATGGGCTCCTTACATTTTTCTCTGTAGAGGGTCTATATATTTTATTAGATTCTCAAGTGCAATTCAAGAGTATCACAATTTACTGATACCAAATTAAGTGGATTATTATGAGATGTACATTTTACCCTGTTCCGTGTAGCATATTCTATCACTGGTAACTGTCCTCGTTTGGGATTCACAAATGGAGAGCCTAAGAAGATGACTTGAGTAAATGTGTATTGTCTTGAAAGGTGATCAGAGAAGTAGGTGAAGGAATTGGGTGAGGGGGTGAGACAGGAAGGAAGAAAAGCCAAATGAAAGGTTTGTTGTCAAGGTCACTTTATGGGTAGCACATAAGTGCTTGACTCTGTAGGAACTTACGGAGAAATAAACAAAATGTTTTTCTGCATTGTCCATCCTAAGAATAGAGACTGGGACATTTAAATACATTTAAATACAATATCCCTCAAAAATTGAAAATCGTCCTCAGAGGTGTTAAATTCATCTGCCACACTGCCTTTCCAGGTTGTAGCCACTGGAAGGATGAATGAGCTTTATCTTCAGAGAAACCCCCAGTGCAGAAGAGCAGGGAGCCACAGAGCATGCTAGTGATGAGGTGCTGTTCACACACACATTCAGAATTGCCCACGCCCCTGTAGTTGAAGTACAAGGTGGCCCGAAGAGCATGTGACATGGGGAACAAAAATCATCACCTCAATAATCAAATGGATATATCCGATTATTAAAATAAATATATTAATAAAATATGTAATAAAAATACTAGAGATTACATATTAGAAACATCTATGGTGTGGATAGGTGCACTTCAAATTAAATTTCTCCATTCATAAAATTTCTGTTTAAAAGTGGAACCACTTATCATGTGAGATGACCATGTGTTTTTATCCCTAGTTAGTCTTATACCAACAAGTTTTATTTACTAAGATTATGGGCAATAATGCTGAAAGGTATAAATAAATATGTTTAAATTAACAATGGAATGAAAAATTAGAATAAACTTTCAGTTTTCCATATTCCTAGATTTGTAATATATGTATTATCTATATTTATCTATCTATATCAATATCTACTTATTTGTCTATCTATATAAAGAGAGACACTACATATATCCTACAAAGACAGGTGGAATTTTATTCTGTCCAATTCAATTTGCTTATTCTTTCATCCCAAATGGAGTGATGTTAGAAAAACATAAAGCAGTCTTGATTCTAAGCAGGCTCTTGGTTTAATATTGGTGAATTAAAACAATGTAACTTCGGTGACTGTATCTATGATGAATGAGAGAGAATACAATCCTGTAGAAACATATGGCAGTTGTCCACATAACACACAGAGGCATAAGCACATTGTTCTTTAGGCCTTTCCTCTGGCAGATGAAATGTGGTATATACAGCATAAGAAACGGGTTTTCCAGTATCTGTGCCTACTCTGACAGGAAGAAAGTCAGATTGTGTTTACCATCTTGTCTGTACGTAACACCAGAGCAGCTGCACGTCTTGAATTTGTTTATTCTAGAGTTTGGGAGGAAGAGAGTGTCTAGACAAAAGAATGGTTTGTTAGCTTCCTGCCATTGTCCGTACATCCCCTTCAGAGTGTAGTGACGTTGTTAAAGTTGTAGATACACCTAGTTCACTCTTTGAGAAAAATAGACATTCTGCCCTGCAATAAGAAAGCAGAGAACAAGAACAGTTATCGCTTTAAACATTTAAGAATGAGGATCAAATTCTTTTTTTTTTTCCCCTTTCTCTTACTGGCACTGACACAAATATGTAGATAAGTCCAAGAAAAATACAAAACATCCAAATATTATGAACATAAGTCATGCTAGTCTCAAAATCCCTGTAAGATACATCATACATAACAGTTGGCTCACATGTCCTTGAGATGAAAAATAAAATGTTGCACAACTTTGCATATTCTATGAAAAAGATTATTCAAAGATGTTGACTATTAGTTAAAAAAATAATTTGGGTGTTTTGTTATTTTAGATTTGAGCTGGAAGTTTTCCTGTACCTTACTTCCCAGCTTTTTGATGGCTCAGGTTTTTGTTTTTGTTTTTTTAATAGATTTCGGATTATAGTTTTATATTCAGATACTGTTTTTAAAAATAACATTGTGAAAACAAAACTGCTTTATAAATTCTGGGCAACAATTTTCTTCAAAAATAACTCTGTTCCATGTAACATGTACTGTAGCAAATGATGAAGATTATCTGTTTTTACATTTTATCCATTTGCAAGTTTCTGCATATGATAGTGAATGTAGGCAATGTATATATATGATATATATATATATATAATTTTTTTATTCTATTGTTCATGTTGTATCCATGAACTGATTTTCTTAAATATTAGGAAAATGTTTCTCAAAATCATCTAAAAGAAAACTTACCTATTACTGTTTGAATGTATGGTAAGAAATGCACATCCAAGAATCACTTTGGAAAAGGGATGTGACCAAGGTACTAGGATCCACAGGAATTAATGTATAACAGAATGGTAAAGATGCAATTCCTCTCTATGTTAATATGACTGAAAAAATATGAAAAAAGGGGTGGGTGGTTAGAGTGTCTCCCTAAGGGAAATTATTTGTGCCAGAGATGGTGAGACAGACTGCTATAAAGTCTCTGTACCTAGAAATCTTTTGGGTGCCCCCTCCAAAATATTTACTTCCCTCCCTCTTGGCCTGCCTTCTCTGAAGTTCAAACTACTCTGGTCACTTCCACAAACTACTTGAAATTGTCTCACAGCTTTTACTGATGCAACCCTACAGTCCAAGCAGTCAACATGTGCTTTTTAAAATTAGGTTACTTACGCGTTGAAAGAGCAGAAGTCCAGAGGATGCAGGTGAAAAAAAAACTAAATAAACAGTTTTTTCCCCTTTCCAAACATATGGATACATAGACCCCCCCAACACACACACAGCACACCCCCAAGATACCTGGTTCTTTAAATTCTTCTTCAAATTAGATCCATCCTATATCTTGAATCAATTTTAGATTAGGTTTAATATTTTTTGGTCACATTTAGATGAGAGAATGTCAGTCTTAATCCTAAGAATTCTTAAGTGTGGCTATCAAAATGGCCAGTAAAAACTCAAAACAGTATTTTTAAAAATCCTCTTTTCTCTCTCACCCTGGCTTTGCTTCATGCGACAAGCAGCAGCATGGGACGTGGAAGGCATCTCTGTCTTGCCTTCTGTAGCTCTAGTTCCTCTCCTCTCCGAACCCCTAACTAGATTGCCTTTGGATCCTCCAGATTTAGATCAAGGAAAGGAAGAGAAGCAATGAGTAGGAGAGACCTGACTTCGCTGACAACATTGTAACCTATTCTAGCTGCTCTCATTGCAGGATTTAGATCTTACTCTTTAGTAGAGCACTTTCAAAGTTCCTCAGAAATGTCCTCACTGAAAAAGTCTGATTATAATTCCTCTGACATGAGTAATTGTATTTTTCCTTCCATTAGTTCCTCAAGAATAAAAACCTTAAGATCTGGGCAAACAGTGACTCAGGCCACACAGATTGTACCTTCCTGTTAGGTTCTTATCACTCCTCCAGCTTAATAATGTTGAGACAGTGGTAGACTGGCTATTCTCCCAAGAAACAATCACACATACTTTGCTCCCACTGCCTGTGGTTGAACAGCACAATTTTCATCCACATGGAAGCATCAGTCAGTTAGCAACAACAACAAGAACTAACAACAGCATGTCACAGAATCTAAAGAAACTCTTTCTCTCTCTTATCTTTTCAACGTCCGTCCATTTGTTTCTCTAAATGTGTGTTGGCTTTGAGAGGTAAACAGTTTTCGATCATTTTTTCCAAGTCCCAAATAAGTGGAATAGCATCTAACTTTCTAAGAAGGAGATACTTGGAGATACATTATGCCATTCTTGACTTAAGGCTTCATTCAAACTATGGCATTTTACTATGCTGGTAGATACAGAAAGCATACACTTGAAAGAAAAATCATTTAAGATTAGGTTTGCGTGTGAGTAAAAAATGCTTATGATATCCGTAGCCTAAATAAGAGAGAATTTTGTTTTTATCTCCGGTAATAGTAGAAAGGTGAGGGGGTCCAAGCTAAATCATGACTCTGCTCTCACAAGGCCCTCCGGACCCTCCTTTGTTCTGTCTTATTTTAAAGTGGATGGCTTCCAAATCTCAGATCACTGCATGCTCAAAGATGGCTTCTTCAGCTCTAGTCATCACATTCACATTCCAGCCAGCAGGAGAGAAAAAGAAACTGAGAAGAAAAGGAGCAGGAGACAAGAAACATCTATTTTTTTTTTTTTTTTTTTAAGGAAGGTTACTTAAACTACCAGTTGATGCATCTGTTTATAATCCCATTGGCACAAACTTATTTCAGGGCTGTATTTAGCTGCTAGAGAGACTGATCCCCTTAACCTTTGGGTGCTTATGTATTCTCTCACTATGAAGTGTAAAGTACATAGATAGGTGGTGATTAGGGGTCTCTTCTCAACTTCTTATAGCTTATAGAATGAAATCTAAATTCCATAGTGAGGAACACAGCTGGATTATCTGGCACCTGCCTACCTTTTCAATCTCAGGATTCTTTGCCTTTTTACTTTGCTTCAGCCGTGTAGGAATACTTTGTGTTTCTTGAACATTCCAGGCTCATCTCTAACTCCCACCGTGGCACTTGTGCTTCTTTTAACCCAGAACTTTCTTTTCTCAGAATTTCTTTTTGGTAACTCCATTCATTTACATCCTCAATAATGCTTTCTGCAACCAGTTTATAAGTCAGGAAGTACTTCTCTCCCTATCCCAATCGTTACTTTTTAATGTGTTTTTTTGTATGCAGAGAAGGTATGTCACTGAAATTATTTATTTGCTTATTTCTTATCTGTCTCCCCATAATAGCTGTGGAGGGTGCTGTCTTCTTATCATTTAATCTTCAGTCCCTACAACTCTGCCAGGCATATAGTAGGTACTTGATATTTATTGAATAAATGCATGCATATGCAAATATTTTTAATTTTTTTTCAAATGTAAAGCACCTGCAAATGCAGGTGGTTGTGTCTGAATGCTTTATAAAAGTGTTTCATGGTGGTGGTAATGATTGTTGTTTTTATTCATCCATCCCCTCAAAAAAGCCCTTCCTTGGGGTGCCTGGGTGGCACAGTCTGTTAAGCTCCCAAGTCTTGGTTTAGGCTCAGGTCCGGATCTCAGGGTCCTGAGATAGAGCCCCGTGTTGGACTCTGCATGAGGTGTGGAGTCTGCTTAAGACTCTCTCTCCCTCTGCCCCTCCCAACTGCATTCTCTCTAAAATAATAAATCTTTAAAAAAAACCTGCCCTTCCTTACCTGCTTATTTTTTAACTAAGGTAGTCCTAGTATTTGTTAAAATAATTCTTGAAAATAATATAGTTTTTAAGGAATAAAAGCTACTATGGTTTACTTTCTTTAAGAAATGGGCTATATATGGGGCGCCTGGGTGGCTCAGTTGGTTAAGCGACTGCCTTTGGCTCAGGTCATGATCCTGGAGTCCCTGGATCAAGTCCCACATTGGGCTCCCTGCTCGGCAGGGAGTCTGCTTCTCCCTCTGACCCTCCCCCCTCTCATGTACTCGCTCTCTCTCATTCTCTCTCTCTCAAATAAATAAATAAAATCTTAAAAAAAAAAAAAGAAATGGGCTATATCACCCTGGGAACATTCAGTAATTCTAATTTCCTGCTTTTTTTTTTTTTTAACACTATCTGAACCATAGAATTAATATTCCCATTTAGATAAACCACAGAGAATTAAAATGTCCTAATTTGTGTCCCTATTCAATTAAACTGTAATATTTCAAACATAGGTTTAGTTTTATCCTTTTACTACCCATTAGGTAAAAATAGTTCTCTATATATACTTAATGGTTTAAACCATGATGTCTTATTATTCTTAAAAACACAATTTCTTTTCCCTGAAAACTCGTAAAGTCACAGAATGCCTGGATATATTTGTTAAACGATCCTAAGGGTATTGTTTTCCTCCTTTTCAGTAGTCCTTCACACAATCTTAGAACAAGAACTGATTATGATCTTTCAATGCCATATTTTGAGGCTAGGGCAAGAACAATGCATTTTCCCATTGCATATCATTCTCCAACTTTTATTTTCTTAAAATAATCACATAAAAGTAATTCAAGACAACCTTAGATATGCAACTATTGACTCTTGGAGGCTTTTAATCACCTGAACTGCATTTGTGCACTGATTTGCTAAGGAAGATTTCTCTAGCTTTCTTTTTTAATATATTTATATAAGGGACAACATTAATTTATATTTTCTAAAATTAGATATTAGATATTTTGATGCATGTTTTATAGACTTTATATATGGACAAGATGTCTCTAAACAATTTGAATCATCAGATCATCTCAGTGTGTGTTCATTTTTATATGTATCTAAAATTAATATATATGTAGTGGACTTATGCAGTACCTATTCTAAGCACTAACATATGAGATCTACTTTGCTTTGCTTAATTCACACATTCTACCATTTGATTTTTTCTTTTTCTATCCAAAATGTTTACATAAAGCTTTCTGGACAGAAATTATAACTTTTATTTTTCTGCACCTTTAGGTAATTACCTCCTGCGTATTCTCATTATCCTTGCCTTGTTGATGTTATGTTTATGCCACTTAGAAATAATCTGTACATGAAGAGTTTCTTATTGTGCCTTCCAGCTCTGTACTACCTTAGCCTTTTGTCCCACTTTTCTTTTAACTTTTTTTTTTATATTAAGTTGTGCATTTGTGAGGGTAAGTGAATATATGTATAAATAACTAGTTGGGCATTATTTTAAGATGCTGATCTTTTTCTACTTATGTGTGTTGATAACTCTATTAGATTGCATATATTTGGTATACAGAATCCTCATTTTATTTGCTTTTTATCTGGCAAAATGCCAAGTGACTTTATTTGCCTTCAATAAAAATTCGGTAGCACCCATCTGAATATATATGAAACCTATTTTCCATGAAATTCTTCAGGGTCTGAAAAAGATATTACGGGTTCAGTTCCAGACCACTGCAAAAAAGCAAGTCAGTTGGATTTTTTTTGTTGTTTCCCAGTTCATATAAAAGTTATATTTACACTATATTGTAGTCTATTAAATGTACAATAGCATTATGTCTAAAAAAAAGTACATACCTTCATTTAAAAATACCTTATTGCTAAAAAATGATAACCATCATCTGAGCTTTTAGTGAGTCATAATCACTGATCACAGATATAATAATAATGAATATAATAATATGTAATATTATTGAAATATATAATATATACTATAATGATGAAATACAGAATAATAATAAAATTTTTAAAGTTTGAAATATTGCTAGAATTACTAAAATGTGACACAGAGACATGAAGTGAGCAAATGCTGTTGGAAAATGGTGCTGATAGAGTTGCTTGATGCAGGGTTGTCACGAACCTTCAACTTATTAAAAAATACAATATCTGCAGAGTGCAATAAAGGAAAGCACAATAAAACAAGGTATGCCTGTATTATCCAAATCATCATTTCGTTAAAGACCACCCTAGTTAAGTCAATTTCTCCCATTTTCCCACTCTCTTGCTATCACACTACTCTAGTTTATATTCTTCAAAATAGATATCTGTACCTACATTTTCAAATTTAATATAGTATGTATATATATGAATAAAGTAAATAAGAAAACACTTTGTACTTTTAAGCATAGTATTTACTGCATTTATTACATATACATATACATATATACATATATATATATGATGGAATATTACTCAGCCATATAAAAGAATGAAATTTCACCATTTGCAATGACATGGATGGAGGTAGAAAGTATTATGCCAAGCGAAATAAGTCAGTCATAGAAAGACAAATACCATATGATTTCACTCATATGTGGAATTTAAGAAACAAAACCAAGCAAAAGGAAAGAAAAAAGAGGCAAACCAAGAAACAGACTCTTAACTATAGAGAACACACTGATGGTTACCAGAAGGGAGGTGGGGAGGGCATGGGTTAAGTAGATGATGGGGATTAAGGAGTGCACTTGTCATGAGCACTGGGTATTGTATAGAAGTGTTGAATCACACTGTACATTGTGTACCTGAAACTAAGATTACACTGTATGTTAACTAACTGGAATTTAAATAAAAATTAAAAAAACACTGTCGGAGGGGGGAAAGATGGTGGAGGAATAGGGGGCCCTATTTCAACTGGTCCTCGGAATTGAGCTGGATATCTACCAGACCACTCTGAGCACCCATGAAACCAGCCTGAGATGTAAGAAGATCTGGATCTCTACAAGCAGAATATCGCAGGAGATTGGTTTTGAGGTACGAAGCAGGGAGCCCTGATTCTGTGGGCAGATATCGGAGGATAA